CAAATCTACAATTCTATGATTCTATGTATATCAGTTTCAATGGGTCCACTGTTTTGGGTCCTGGTTATGTCTGATGTAGTTTTATCGTAACCAGTTAACTGCGTTTTATTTCAAAAATTACACATCCCTTACATGGGAGTAAAGAAAGCTGCCTATTACCAAGCAACACCACTGGTCCATCTAGATCAGTATTGTCCACCTATGGGCATCAGCTCTCCAAGGTTTCAGGCAGGAGAAATTCCCAGCCCTTCCTGAAGCACTGAACCTGGGACCTTCTGCATGGAAGTCAGATGCCCAATGCCCCTTTCAGTAACCCTAGGGCTGCCTGTGGCCCTCACATTCCTTTAGGTGCTATGGGGGTAAAAGAGAGATAGAGAAAAGGCGTTAAAAGAGAGGGGGGTTGTCCAACCTATTTTTTGGATTTGGTTACCCCCCCTCCCACCTTTGATTCTAGCCCTGTGCAGCACTGGTATTCAGTCCCCCTGCCCTGACAGAAAAAAGGCTACTCACCCCTGCCCCTAAGCTAATCTCAGATGCTTGTCAGTACACAGGCTGATTGACAGCCTGCTTTTCATAGCACCTGTAATTCACCTACTTTTAAAAAACCCAAAACAGATCTGGTTTGGGGTGAAGAATTTCCCCAACCTCCACTGCCTATTAAGCTAAAAACAACAACCCAAAAACTAGTTCCATGGCCCTATTTACATATGAAGACAATAACAGTCTTGCTGGCAAATAATACACAGATGGAGCTATATTCTAAATATAGAGGAGCAAAAGAGGCTTTAAACACAAACAAAGGCAGGGGGGAGACAGAGAGGGAGAGCGAGAAGAGAAGGGAAGTCTGCAAGTTAATAGTCAGGACAGCAGCAGGCAGAAACCCTGAAAGCAGAGGGAAAATGCCATCAAGTGGGGTCAGGAAGAGTCAAAAGGTCAGACAAGAGTCAAAAGGTTATTGCCTTCCAGATCCAATATAATCAATTCTGGTCCTGCATACTGTGATCAATAAGCCTTTCATCAATGAGGGGACCAAGAGAGAGCAGCTCTTTAAAACCAACACATAATTATGTATAAGCGACTCCCCACTTATGCAGGGATTATGTAAATGCTCGTAAATAAGGAGCCTCATCAGAGTGGGGAACTAAGGCGATTTCTTCTTCTTTTACAACAAAAATGGTTCACAGCTCTTCGGAATCCTGCCTAACAAAAAGCAACCCATACTGTACCATTGCCTCAAGATCGCCAGAAAGGGCAGGGAACAGCTCGCTTGAGCCCACTGTAATACAGCTTCTCGCCCAACAACTGTTGAATAGGGTAGTGCAGGAAGCAGCAAGAGCTTCTGTGCGCCATTTTGGAGCTCATAAGTCCTTTTCTCTTTTTTTAAGCCTTTAAAGCCTCTTTGTGCTCTGGGGAGGGTATCCTTTCAAGCCACTAGGACTTTCCAGCTCTCTCCAGCCATTTCCAGATTTGAATTGATTTGAACTGATTGATTTCCCAGCACCGCACAGTCGCATGTGAGTCAATTGCATGTAACTGGGAAGATGCCTGTATTAGACAAACTGAGCTAATTCCATGGGGGCAGTGGGAGAAAAAGTCAAAAGTTTTTTGGCATCAAAGCAGATGATCTCAACAACTCCTCCTGCTCACGACTCAAGTGATGGGCCTGGAGATGTCCACAAAACCCATCACTGATTGGTTACTGCACCGGCTATGCATGCAAAAGGTCTCCAGATTCAATCCCAAGGATCTCCAGAAAGGACTGAGAAAGAGTCATGCCCAAAATCTTGGAGAGCTCTTGCCAATCAGCACAGACTGAGGGTGGAGAAATCTGTGGCCCTACAATGGATGTTGGATTCCAGCTCTCATCAGTCCAAGTCAGTGTGGTCAATAGTCATGGATGATGGGAGTAGGGTCACATTTATGCCATACATTTAAAGTAATTGAATAGTAATTGTTTCCCTCGAGGAATTACAGGAGCTGCGGTTTGTTCAGGGCTGCTGAGAGTTGTCAGGAGACCCTGCTATTCCACTACCAGAGCTACCATTCTCAGAGTGGCTTCACAATGAATCCCGCTTCACAGGAAAAGTTGGGAACTGTAGCTCTGGGAGGGGAATAAGGTGTCTCCTAACAACTCTTGACACCCTTAATAAGTTATACGTCTCAGAATTCCTTGGGAGAAGCCATGACTCTTCGAAGTGATACCATAGTACTTGAAATGTATCATGTGAATGTGGCCCTGGAATCAGACATCATCTGGAGGACCAATTCTGGCACAGACGATACTGAACTAGATACATGTGCACATGTGTTTTTATTCTGTCCGACAATTGTGTAACACACTGTGCCAGGATGCAGAGGAGGAGGAGGAGGAATCTAGAGCCTGACCACCCACCTTGAGCTGGAATTTTTTTGCATTCCTGGCAAGGTTGGCTGGGCCTACATCATCACATCAAGCAGGTGGTTTTTGATAGCCCAGCTGTTGAATTTCACAGTAAGTTGCGCTTCAATTTAAAAGCACAAGGCGCATACTAGACCCAAGGGGAAATCTTGGATTCCTTTTTTTGAAAAGCACAAGTGTGCCTCCACCAAGTCACCTTTTAGAAATAAAATTAAAAGGAACAGGCAAGCCAAAGGAATAGACCCTTAATATAAACCGAACATAAAGGTGCATTGCCAGAACGATGTAGACATTTGACTCCGATATCAAGCATCAAGCCAGACCCAGGGAGACAGTGGTTCAGATCCCTGCTTCTGCAATTTGTTTTGGAAAGTTCTCTATTTGTTACATATTTGGATGCTTCTTAAGATATCATAATCAAATGATGGCCTCTGAGAGCAAGGGTGAGGTTTTCATCTACATTTGGATACAACTGGGTGCCATTTTGAATCAACATGGCAGGCTGGACCTCTCAAAAACTTCACTGATTTCAAAACTGAATGTTTTTTGGTCTTCTTAGAATTCCCAAGTGACACCAGGTACTGGCCTCCTAAGAAACTTCAATGCATGATTATCTTGGGCCAGTCACTATCTCCCAATGTAACCTACCTCACAAGGTTGTCATGAGGGTTAAGGGGGGGGTGAGGGTGAAGAATCATTAGATGACATGCTGAGTTCCTTGGAAAACAGGTGGGACAGCAGGATTAATAAAATGCAAATGTAAAAATAAATAAATTCTACAGTCCAGAATATACTTCAAATTCTGCTTTAGAAAAGCTGGATTCCACAAACTGCATGTATTTAAATACATTGATTAGTAGCCCTGGCCCATCACAGTCCAGCATCCTGTTCTTACAGTGGTCAATCAGATTCCTCTAGGAAGCCCACAAGCAGGACACAAGGGCAGTCTCATTCTCCCACTATGTTCCCCAACAACTGATATCCAGAGTACCAGTGTGGTTACAGTGGTTACAGCGCTTGACCAGGAACTGGTGGGAGACCCTGGTTCAAATTCCCACTCAGCCATGAGGCTCACTGGATGACCTTGGGCCAGTCACTGCCTCTCAGCCTAACCTACCTCACAGGGTTGTTGTGAGGATAAAATGGTGAGGAAGAGAACTATGTATGCCACATTAAGCTCCTTGGAGGAAAGGTGGGATATAAACGCAAAAAAAAAAAAAGGTTGGAAGGCATTAGAGGCAAAAAGGGCAATCCAGGCTATTCTAAGCCATGCCCACAAGACAAAACGGTGGTTACCTTGCTGAACAAGAGTGTTTTGTGCTATGACAGAGCCCACTAGCTTACCTGGGGGAATTTGCGTTTGATCGAAGTCAGCGCTCCCTCTGGAAGTTTGGCCAGCTCAGAATCACGAACTGCGTGTACTGTTGTTGCCCTGGGCTGGTGGGTTAAGGCTTCAACCTAAGATAGAGAGAAGAGAAAGTTGCTGCTGAGATGGCAGTGGTAATCGCCGTAGCGCTGCTGTGGTACCAGCAACTGCCATAGCACTGCCAAACCAAAACATAGCACAAAGCAGGGGTAACCTCTGCTTCTAGATGAACTTGTTCAGTTCTCTGTTTTCATTTGCCCCATCTTTGATTGATTTCATAAGAGAGCAGGAAGTGAAGTTTTGTTTGATTTCAGTAATATGCACAGCCCTATCCTACCTCCCAAGCCCAAAGTATTCATACAGTGTATTGAGGGGGGGGGGGACACTTACTTAAGTAATTCTTTCTTAATAAACCAATGCTCCTCTTTCCTAAAAGAGTAGTCTGCCTGCTGCCTTCTGACATAGTTCACTGCTCTGGGCTTGCCTCTTTCCCATCAGCCTCTGCAGGGAAATGGGTAATTGAGCCCAGTCATGACATCAAGTATAAGAATTGCTCCCCATCCTGAGATGCAGCAGAATTGCCTAGAGCAGGGTTCCCCAAACTTGGGTCTCTAGCTGTTTTTGAACTACAACTCCCATCATCCCTAGCTAGCAGGACCAGTGGTCAGAGATGAAGGGAACTATAGTCCAAAAACAGCTGGAGACCCAAGTCTGGAAAACCCTGGCCTAGAGTAAACTTCCTATTGAGTCCCTCTGAGTCACTGCTCCTTCAAAAATTGGGAGGCAATTTACAAAAATAAAATAAGTACTGTAAAGAACTTTTAGATTCACACAAAAATGCAAGGATGGCTCCTCTGAGTGCAAAGTTCTTCCTGTTTCATACAAGAAGAGACCTGCTGGATCACACCAAAAAGGTCCATCCAGTAAGCATCCTGATTCCTATAATAGCCACCCAAGCACCCTGGCAATGCACTCCTGCTGTCGCCCCCTCCCCCAACACATCTGGTGTTTAGGCTGCCTGCCTCAGGACATGAATACTGCCTACAGCCATTGTGATTAATAGTCACTGATGGACTGCTCCCCCTTTGTCTAATCTCTGCTACAAAGCCATGGGTCACCCCACATCTGAGGGCAGCAAACTCCATGCGTTTATTTTGCACTGTAAGAAGATGTCACTTCTTTTGGCTGTCCTGAATCCTTCTTCTCATCACATTTCATAGGGTAACTCTTTCATGGGGTAGGGCTATAGCTGAGGGGTAAAACACCTGCTTTGCAAGCAAAATGTCCCAGGTTCAATCCCTAGTAACATCTCCAGGTAGGTCTGAAAGAGATCCTCTGCCCTAAACTCCAGAGAGCTGCTGCCAGTCAGTGATGAATATTGAGCTAGATGAACCAATGGTTCTGACTCAGTATAGAAGTGGTTTCCTGTGCATTTAATCATTATGGGAGAAATTTATCTGTACACTTCCTACATACTATGCACAATTTCTACAGGTAAACCATCTCGAATGTAAGAGCAAAGTGTGACTTGGAAGCTGAACTGAGATGGGAGAACCCCCCACATGCATGTGAGTATCCTTCAACTATTAGAAGTTTGGAAAGCTGGAACTAATGTGATTTGGAATTAATGTGATTTGATTGGCCTGTTAATAAAAAATATATTAAAAAAAGAAGAAGTTTGGAAAGCAATGCCCTAAACCACAGGTCTTCAACTGATCAGGATGCACATGGGGCTGTGGCCTGATCCAAGCTGGGTCAAAACAGGAGCACTGCCACCGTGCAAATATATGGTCAAAGATTAAGAAATGGGTCCCCAAATGCGTTCCTGGGTTAACAGTGGGTCCTGGGTCTGAGAAGGCTGAAGATACCTGCCTGAAACCGCAGGAAACTGTATGTTCTGAAGTTAGGAGAAACAAGATGGAGCAGGAATACTAGCCCCCGGGGTGGCTGGAGAGGGCTTTGATTAGTTGATAGGGGAAGTGGGCTGGACAGGAGGTGGTTATGACTGAACCAAAGTGTGAAGCATTGTCACTTAGAACCTGGCACCACCTTTGCAGATGACAGCAGACTCATCCACCCTGACAGAGAACACACTTGCAAGAACAACATTCTTGAAAGGTGAGAGTCTCACTATTGAGAACCTCTTCATCTTTAAAAACTTGGTGGAAAGAGGGATGGAACTTGATGGGACATTTTGTGTCACTTTTGTCCAGTTCTGAACTTCTTGCCCCGCTTCTGAATCATGACTGTGTCTGCTGCTGAACCTACACCATTACGTTCCTGAATAAAGATCTATTTCTTACTCACAAGTAAGAGCCTCTGTTTGACAGGAGCCAGCAGAACTGCCTAATTCACCTCACATTTGGGGAGGCCTCTCTTCTCCAAGAGGTCTTCAAGAACCCAACATTTGGATCAAATGGATCAATGCTGTTTTTTTAAGGAAATGAAGAGATATGGCCATGCCTTCTTTCGACAAAAAATGGCGCTCCCACTGCCTGTTTATCACTTTCAAACCTAGGAACAGAGTGAGTCATCATTTAATGAGACCTCGTGCTAAGTGAAGTGACATTGCTCCCTGCCCTGAGGGAAGCGCTGACATTTTCCAGTGCCGGAACCTGACCTGGCTTTTGATGGCAGGCTGCCCCATGAGAAGCGGTAGCAGCCCAGAAAGAATGTAGAGAAAGAACACTTGAGCCAGTCCAGTGCTTAGCAACTAATGGATTCTGTTAAGTGAATGGACGTCACTTGCCATTTGGGTCTGTTTACCCTGTTCCAACAGGAGCTGAAGACTAATTTGATTTATTATATACATACATTATTTCAAAATCCTAATCCAGCCTTCGCCCACTTCCCCCCCCAGTTGTATACGCATTTCACCCTAAAAAATGACCCCCACAACTTTCCTGCATTACAAACCTCCGCACAGAACCATATTCTGAGCGGCCACAGCCCACACTGATTCTCTCACTAATACTCTAGTAGTAGTATTTTGCACACCTGTGGAATTATGACAGGGGCAGCAAGACCAGATGTTGTTGCCCAGCCAGTGCAGCTGATGGTCAGGGATGATGGGAGCTGGCAGTCCTACAACATCTGAAGGAACACAGAAATTCCCCACCTATCCTTCTCCTTCCTTGGAGGTTTTTTAAGCAGAGGTTTGACGGTCATCTGCCATGGATGCTTTAGTTGAGATTCCTGCATTACCAGGGGTTGGACTAGATGACCTGAAGGATCCCTTCCAACTTTACAATTCTATGATTCTCCATTGAAATCAGGACGACAATGGACAAAGAGGATGAATTTGGAAGCAATTTTTTAAAATATAAAAAGCCCTAAAAACAAATCTGTTCTTTGGATAGCAGGGGCACAACTTTTGCAACTGCCTACAGTATCAACTCTGCTCGTTGCTCAGCAATCTTGGGCGCCAAGCCCCAAACAGAAAGATACATATATATTTTTAAATAGGCACACAGAGGGTTGAGCTAATCTCCCCATCCTTTCATGAATCAGATAATTTGACTGTTTGAGCTACTGGTCCTGCTTGGATGTCATCAGAAATTAGAAAAAATTAATTAATACCAGAATTAGTTTATCAAGGATTGAATTGGAATCATAGACTATCTCTAAGGCTGTACACCTTAAAAACTTATTTTTTTAAAAAAAGTAAGATCAGCAAACTAGTCCGCTAAAGGATCGGCTGATTAACCAGCAGAGACAACTCTTCATTAGCAAAGTTCTATTGTATACTGATGGCTATATTTGTTCCTGGCCATTACTGGAAAAAATGATTAAAATTAAAAAAAATCTCTCTAAAATTAGAAGTAGCTTGTGCTTATCTTAATGTTCTCCCACATTTCTCAAAAGTACCATCTCTACTGAAGTTCTGGCTTTATGCTAGTTTATTAAGACTACAGAAATAAAACCAATCAGTTACAAATTCTTTAAATCAGCTAATAGCCCTCCCTGCTTCTTGAATAGTGAAAAAGATTGTCAAATTTTTGAGATAATTAGCTAACAGATGTAGAAAAGCATATTCACGCCTTCTGCTTTTAGCTTTATCTAGATTTTGTGATGCTTTAACTGACCCTCAGGGTGAGAGCTGCTACTGTGATTGCTGTAATAACCAAAGTATGGTTGATCCAACTTTTGTGTCAGTTTATGAGATACAAGCTCATCAAATGTTTTATACATTGTACATTTGCACTTCTGTTAGGATGTCATAGTTCTAAGCTGAAGCTAATTTGATCATCTTGTATCTGCTATACCAGAAGCCAACAAGAGGACAATTCCCAAAGTTGTTTTAACTGTCAATCTCTCTTTCCTGTGAACTCTTGGAATTATAACTCTGTGAGGGGTATAGTAATCTCCTAACACTCTCAGCACCCTGAACAACCAAAAGCGCTTTAAATGTATGGTGTGAATATGGCCCAAGAGAGGTGCATTCAGAAGTGATATAAAAACAGTAATCAGATGAGAGGTGCATGATTTAATTTAACCATTAAGAAAAGCAAAAACATTCCACAGCCTGGCTCCAATGAACTACTTTAGACCCAAACAGTGCTGACTCAAACTTAATTCTTAAATCCCAATTCAGTGGCAGCAGTGGAAAAAAGCTCCGCTGGATGAGCTAAGGAACCTCATCTTCAGGGCATAGACCTAGCAGTGTGGATCTTTGCATTCTGGCCAAAACAAGTTTGAATGGCCTGATCTGCCAGTTCTTGCTCTCTCTGCACTGTCCCATCATGCTAATATTTATGAGTTGAATTAACCAGAATGTTTAGAGCAGGCTATAATACTCCTCTATCTCTTGAAGCGTAAAATGAAATTCACTGCCTCACAAGCTGGCTCAGTGCAGTATTTGCTAATTTAATTTAATCTTTGTGGCAGTTTATCACCAGCTCCTGGGCTGAATACTGCTCTGGAAGTGCCTTTCAAACCTTTTGTTTTCCTTCAGAGTTTGCTGTCAGGGACAGCAGTACTTTGCGCTTTGAAATTATATGAATTTTACACACATACACACCAAAATTCCACAGCAGAATATGATAAATTCCGCAGCCCGCTAAAGCAAAAGAAAAATCGCCATCCCTGCTTCCAGTGCATAATTAATTCTGCTGCCAGCAGAGTTGAGGCATTTAAAAGATCATGACGCATTATAAAGATTGCACACCTCTTGTTGGAACAGATATTATAGCCAGAATGTCAGGCTTGAGCTTGTTATTTTTGAAAAGGGGTTATTAAGATGTAAGAAGCATGCCTTTTTAAAAAAAACCAAAGTTTAATCGTAGATTCCAGCAGCCAAGCAACATTAATTGGATATATCTCTAGAAGTCTAATGCACATCTGAGAACACAGGCTATAAGAGGTATGATTTTAAAATATAAAATAAGAATGTTTTAAAACCATGCAGAAAGCCACAGGTTCAATCTCCAGCATCTCTAGGTAGTGATGGGAGAGATCCTGTCTGAAACCCTGGAGAGCAATTGCCAAGTCAGCACTACAGGGCAAGATGGGCCGACTCAATATAAGGCAGCTTCTATTGTTCCTACAAACAAAATGGAGACTTCACTCTTACAACCCAAAGAGGTTCACCTCTAGAACTCAAAAGAGGTAGGCTATTACTTGGCACAAGCCCTGAGTTTCTTTATGTCACTCTTCTGGGAATGCCTGACTGGAGAAGAAAAGCCCGGAACAGCAAGCCATGCAGAGATACAACGAGCAGTCTCTTCTCAAGGCAGGTTACTCAGCTGCCCATTTGTTCTGGAAATGACTGAATGTTCCAATCGTACATGATGCAAAACTACCCATTCGTGCTCAGCCAAGGTCAGTGATCAGGGATGAGCACTGTAGCCCAGCAACATCTGGAGAGCCACAGATTCCCCATCATTGTTGGGGGTTGGTCAGGTGGCCCAACGGAAACCAATAGGATTCCATTTGGCTCTATAAAGAAGCTGGATGGGCTCCTCAGCCTGAACAACTCGTTCCTTAGGGAAAGGCCAAGCTGCTTAGGCTCCTACTGCAACCTGCTGCCTCCAGTGCCATCAACAACTCAGAAAATGGGTTTGGTTCAAACAGGTCTCAATCCCAATCTAATTCACAAGCCAGGAGGAACTTACCACGCCAATCAGGTCACCGCGGCCATATTCCCCCGTCAGCTGCTTCTTCCCATCATCCATCCTGATGACAGAGCGGAGCCGCCCGTTCAGCACAATGTAGGTGCAATCTGAGTTGTCCCCTTGCCTGTGGAAGGACACACCAGTTACAGGAGGGAAAGACCCTAAAAGCACAATCTCCATTTCTGGCCTGATTTTTGG